CCCCCAGATGGAGAAGCAGGATGTGGCATTAAGTGTGATAATGAGTCATTTCCTCCTTCGCCGTCCGCGTTCCTGAGGGATGCCGAGCTGCTTTCATAATCGCCGCCACTTGAGCGCGCTTTTCTCTCCCAGATCCTGATAAGTGCCCAATAGAGATTCCACTTCCCACTTCCCGGCGAGGAAGCTTCTCCTGGACGGGAAAAGAACGCGGCCGCTATCCATACAAAGAGCAGCGGAGGGAGATAGTGGCGGCTCGGCTACACCGGGGAGGAAGGGGGGGGCGGTAGAGGAGGGGGAGTAAAAGATTTCATTGGTTAGTGGTGCTCTGTTTATATGGACCTTACATTAAAATGTGCCGTCCTGTCATTTCATAATGTCAAATTGTAAGATTCAAATTAAAACCAGAAGAAGAAAAAAAGATACTTTCTGTAGACCCGACTTGTAGTCACTTAAATGGCCCTAATGCCGGCCTTCCCGTGGCATGCTGGGAAAGTTGAGGATCCCTAATCCCGGTACAATGCTCCTGCACAGCGATAGAGAGACTCCTTGTGTGATGTGTGTATTCCTTCCAGATCTGTGCAGTAATCCAGAGTGAGACTTGGAGCTTCCTGTAATAAAGACCGCTCACTGCTGTTCTCTCTCCTAGTGCAGGGCAACTGGTCTTGTCTCCGCCCCCCTCCTGTAATAAAGACCGCTCACATCTGCTCTCTCTCTCCTTGTGCAGGGGGACTGGTCTGGTCTCCGCCCCCTCCTGTAATAAAGACCGCTCACTGCTGCTCTCTCTCCTTGTGCCGGGTGACTGGTCATGTCTCCGCCCCTTCCTGTAATAAAGACCGCTCACTGCTGCTCTCTCTCCTTGTGCAGGGTGACTGGTCATGTCTCCGCCCCCTCCTGTAATAAAGACCGCTCACTCTGCCATGAGCACACCACACAGATCCACGTCACTACTACTACTACTCTCATCATTTCATCGTGTTAAAGTGGAACTTTATCCTAGAAAAAGAAGTTTGCTATCCGGAAGGTCTCTGCGCGTCTCTGCAATGCTTCCCTGCCTGCTAGCAAGTTCCTTAAGACTGAGCGCTCAGCTTGGGGTACAATTTGGGAATTCCTCGGTGCCGGGATGAATGAACTCCCTATGAATGCGCGGGAGTTATATCATCCCAGGCCAGCCAATCACGATGACTGAAAACCCAGAACTGGTGATGATGTCAGTGGCGGGAGGGAGCTGCAGTAAAGGTTTAAGGTGTCCAGGGTTTCTTAAAGGAACGGTGCACTTCTTACAATATTTCAGAGTCGCAGAATGAGCCCCTGGCAGCCTGCGTCCACCTCGCTGCAGCCCCCCCCGACTCCCCGGTTTCCTGTCTCCCATTGTAGCTGCATCCTGCTCCATCCCCACATCCTCTCCGCGTCTTACAGCAGCTTCCAGCCCTCGGCTTCCTCTGCTTACTTCCTCATTTCACCACAGGGGGGAGAGGGGGGGTCACATATGAGCTCCGGGACTGAATTAATTTAAAGGAGATGTAAACACGATCACTGAAATCTCAGATATGTTTCAACATGATGATGTCACTTCAAAAGTCTTATCCAAGTCCATTCCGTGGTGTGTTAGAGTGCATGAAGGCAGCCGATTCCAAATAAATGCCAGCGCACCCTAACATGCTCGCACGTGACACTTTTTCTGCAACGTATTGCGGGGCCCTACCATGCGGGTGCATTGTCTTAGTGCATCACAAATGAACGCCACGGCAATGCATCTTACACACGTTACTGCGTGTTCCGGTAAGACATGTGTGGGACTGTGAAGCTGCGCCGACACACATTGCTCAGGCGTGGTCCAGCGCTGTCACCATCAGGGAGCCGGTCCAGAGGAAGGATGTGCAATGTGGCCAGAGTAAGCGCATGTAGACAGGAAGTAGTGGAAAGGGGCCAGGGGGAGATCAGCAGATGGAAAATTGGACTTCTTGAATGAATTGATTTTTGAATTTAAGAGCAGTTGAGGATCGTCAATATCTCTGAGTCAGAGTGAGCCGAGTATCAATACGCTGGTCACCGATCACCAATGGAGTATTTAGGTTTTGTGCTGCCCTAGGCAAGACTACACTAGGCTTCCACCCCTTCCTGTTTAAGACATTTTGCGTAACCTGTCAGTCCCTGGATACAAAGCGCACGCTCTATCCAGCTTCTGACAGGTTGTGTTAGTAGCGTAGCGGCGAAGCCGGGGTCCAAGGTGGGCAGCAGAGCCCACCATAGACCCGCAAAACCCACTGGAGACTCCACAGAGCACACCTGAGACCCTGCAGAGCCCACCACAGACCCCCACACACCCCACCTGAGACCCTGCAGAGTCCACCTGAGACCCTGCAGAGCCCACCACAGACCCCACACACCCCACCTGAGACCCTGCAGAGTCCACCTGAGACCCTGCATAGCCCACCATAGACCCTGCATAGCCCACCTGAGACCTTGTAAAGCCCACCACAGACCCCACACAGCCCACCTGAGACCCTGCAGAGCCCACCTGAGACCCTGCATAGCCGACCATAGACCCTGCATAGCCCACCTGAGACCTTGTAGAGCCCACCACAGACCGCACACAGCCCACCATAGACCCCACATAGCCCACCTGAGACCTTGTAGAGCCCACCACAGACCCCGCATAGCCAACCTGAGAGCCCCACAGAGCCCACTTGGGACTCTCAGGTGGGCTGTACAGGATCTATGGTGGGCTCTGCAGGGTCTCTTTCCCTGCACACATATGCCCCTCCCACTTAACTGAAGCCCAGCCCCCCAGCCAGCCTCCCGTCCATCCCATTATCAGATGGTGGGGTATGGGCAGCCCTGAGCCGCCGGCCGGGCCGCATCTTACTCGGCCCCGATCCAGCACCACCTCCGGTCATACCTCGGACCCTCCTCTACCCCGCCTGCGGTCCCGCCTCCTGCCTCCCTGCTTCTCCTCCACCCAGTAGCCCTCTCAGGTAAATTAGGCAGCCGCAAGACCCAACAAGCGGCCACCTAATTTTCCTGATTAGGCAGAGGCTGCCTGATTCTGTGCGACCTGGCTCGCCGCACCAATTTTGGGGCAGTGCCTTGTTTGCCTTTTGAGGTATATGCCCGTCTATCTCCAATGGATCAATAGATCTCCAACTGGAATATTCTTAAATCTTTGCAGTTTTGCTCTGCAGACTATCCTCCAATCTATCCAGCTTGGCTCTGCAGACTATCCTCCAATCTATCCAGCTTTGCTCTGCAGACTATCCTCCAATCTATCCAGCTTGGCTCTGCAGACTATCCTCCAATCTATCCAGCTTTGCTCTGCAGACTATCCTCCAACCTATCCAGCTTTGCCCTGCAGACTATCATCCAACCTATCCAGCTTTGCCCTGCAGACTATCCTCCAATCTATCCAGCTTTGCTCTGCAGACTATCCTCCAACCTATCCAGCTTTGCCCTGCAGACTATCCTCCAACCTATCCAGCTTTGTTCTGCAGACTATCCTCCAATCTTAGCTTCCATGTTTGGCTATGGGAGGTTTATCAATGACTACCTGCAGTAATCTCCATTGGGGATACCCAGACAGGAAGTTTCTGTATTCCGTCATTCTCATCCTTTGGCTTCAGTGCTTTCTAGGTCACTGACCTGTATTCACTGACTGAGCCGCCCCCCTGTTCAGTGATAATGTTCTCATGGTGACACCACAATATGCTGAGAAATATGACACATTGTGGTCGTGTCACGATGGGACGCTCTCGGCTTTCCGTGATGCCCGTTGACTGTTTTCATTAGATAAAGACACACAAGCCGCTATCTGTCGGCGACCCGCGTCCTGCGTCTTATCGGGAGCCGGGTCCCCTCACCCGCTGAATATTCTTCTGTCCGCTTCAAAGAGAAATGATGTATTCCAAATTTCCAGCCGACATTCTTGGACTCGGCTCAAAAAGTTCCAGATATCAGCGGCCGGCATTCTCTTATCTCCCCCGATAATGGCGAGAAATGAGATGAATTCACCGAATCTGGATCATTCCGACTGCAAATCCTCCCATAATACAATCTGTGGAAGGGTGCTGCTGGAGGACTCTGCGCCGTCCTCTCATGAAATACTCTGCTCTGCTGGAGGACTCTGCTCCTTCCTCTAACTCTCCTCTCCTGAAATACGCTGCTCTGCTGGGGGACTCCGCTCCTTCCTCTGACTCCTCTCTCCTGAAATACTCTGCTCTGCTGGAGGACTATGCTCCTTCCTCTGACTCTGCTCCTTCCTCTGACTCTCCTCTCCTGAAATACTCTGCTGGAGGACTCTGCTCCTTCCTCTAACTCTCCCCTCCTGAAATACGCTGCTCTGCTGGAGGAGTCTGCTCCTTCCTCTGACTCTGCTCTGCTGGAGGACTATGCTCCTTCCTCTGACTCTGCTCTCCTGAAATACTCTGCTGGAGGACTCTGCTCCTTCCTCTGACTCTGCTCTGCTGGAGGACTCTGCTCCTTCCTCTGACTCTGCTCTGCTGGAGGACTCTGCTCCTTCCTCTGACTCTGCTCTGCTGGAGGACTCTGCTCCTTCCTCTGACTCTGCTCTACTGGAGGACTCTGCTCCTTCCTCTGACTCTGCTCTCCTGAAATACTCTGCTGGCGGACTCTGCTCCTTCCTCTGACTCTGCTCTGCTGGAGGACTCTGCTCCTTCCTCTGACTCTCCTCTCCTGAAAATACTCTGCTCTGCTGGAGGACTCTGCTCCTTCCTCTGACTCTCCTCTCCTGAAATACTCCCCTCTGCTGGAGGACTCTGCTCCTTCCTCTGACTCCTCTCTCCTGAAATACTCTGCTCTGCTGTTCGGACCTATGATAACAGAAGGGCACACCGTCTGGCAGTTGAAGGGTTACCGCTCTTAAGGGGTCAGGTTGTCTTTAAGGCTGAAGCTGAGGAATTCCTGACGGATGGGAAGTCTACAAAAACAGGAATTGGAGTTCCTCGGTCAGCGAGCTTCCTTCCTGACATTGCCGAGCCGCTCCGAGCCCCCCCATGGCCAGCGCGCTCTGTGTACGGTCCCCCCAACTCTGACACCTCTGTGACCCGCGCAGACAATGGAGAAAATGCGGCCGGAAATTCTGGAACCGCAGGAGGCAAAAACCGGTCACCTCCGTGGCGGGATGGGTGAGAGGAGGACAATGCGACATCGGGAGCTGCCACTGCTGACTTGGCTTTAGGCTAGCCTCACACCTTGGTGTCACCTCACCGTACGGCAGTCGTGCAATTGCCGCGCGGTCAGGAGTCGCCAAGGTGTGAACCGAATTACATTCTAATGGCACCCCAGTCGCGCCAGACGGATCGCGCGGTTTCCCGGTGCGATTCTGCCCGTGCTTCCGAACATGATAGCGGCTAGAACAGCCGCGCGTCGTGTATTGCAGAGAAAAAGGAAATCAATGGGGCCGCCGCGGCAATCGCTGCCTGCATTGTACAGGACCGCGCAATCCCAGAACGCGCGTCCCGAGTGTCGTGCGGTGTAGTGCAGGTGTGAACCTAGCCTTAAAGGTGCAGATTCCGGGGACATCACCCTCACCTGAGCTTCACAACACAGTGCGTCACTGACCTGGAACAAGCATGGAGCGAGCGAAGTCAATCGGGGTGAATGCACCAAACTGTGAGCGCTACATAAATCCTATATAATTATAATGCTGTATTGGGCAGCGCGCTCCATATAAACAATGAGCGATAGGCATCCTATCAGCGAGGTTCTACAATACAATCCAAAGTCGCCTTGTACCAAGCTGGTTCTGGTTCTGTACCAATGATTATACATGTTCTGATGCCTATCTGGCTGTGTATTTGCACGCAAAGGTCGGGTCTGAGGAGGTTAATTGGACGAGACGTCGATCAAGTTGCCGAATCTGTCCTCGCTCGCATTACACATTCAGCACAACCCTCCTTAACACACATACATAAAAACAGTGTCAACCTGCGACGCACTTCTACCGCACCGTGTTGGCACCTTGTTCCCGATTCCGCCAACATACCTCGTTTCACGGAGTGACAACCTGACAACGTCAATGATAAAAATAAAATTTGTTGAAGTTCTTGTAGGAAAGTTGTTTAGAGGTGAACCTGGAAATGTGTCATTTGGGGCTCATTCACAGCACCGCGTTTCTCTAAGCATGCGCTACGTCTTTTCAATGTGACGCAACACGTGGCATTGCCGTACTGCATATTGCGCTGCGGGAGGAGCATTGGGGTGCCATTCAAATGAATGGCAACACAACAGACCTAGAGCACAGTACATGGGTGTCCCGAGGCCGGGTGTCACCCGGGGTGGTTACCGGATGACACCCCACCGTGACGTCACCACACATGCAAGGCGATCTTATTGATACCTGCCGGCAGCCATCTTGGTGATGGACGCCGGCAGAGAGAGGAGGGGGTGTTCACCCGGCAACTGGGACACCTATTTTTGATTGAGGTATGCCGCCGGGTCCCCTTCTCTCTCCTGACACTGTCTGGCTCTCAGTCCGTGACCGAGTGCCTTACTTTATAGACGGGGTGTCACCAAAATGACTGTCAGCCATTTTGGTTTCACCCCTCCAATGGTGTCACCCGGAAGCAGGCCGCACCCCCCTTGTGACGCCACTGGCAAGATACCACGTGTGAGGTGCGCTGCGCACTGGCATGTGCTAGACGCGCGGTGAACGGGTCCCTTAAACTCTTACACGGGTCACAGATCTCATTTTCGTTGGGCTCTGAAGTTGTGACATTTACAGGCACAGGAGTTCTCTGATCCTAGTCCCACCGCTCTCGCCCAATTCAGTCAGAGCAAGAGAGGGAGGTTGCACAGTGCAGACTCATGTGACCTGAGGTTGCACTGTGATGCGCACACACAGGGTGACAACACTTTTCGCAGCCCGCCCCTCTGAGGTCTCGGTGTCACTGACCCACCTCCCGCTTATTCTTTGAACTCCACTGTCCAGGTAAAGGGCAGAAACTGCAGCCGCACTCCATAGATGCCAACCGTGCCAGATTTATGATTCTCGGAGAGGAACTGCTGCACTTCTTACCGGAACCCGCTATGTATAAAGGAGGGTGCTGTAGTAACCGCGGACCATCATCACACTAAAACCTGATGAAGGGGACCCTGCGTGGCCCCGAAAGTTGTTTTTTGACAGTCTGCATCAATAAAGAAGATGGATTATTGACACAAGACATCGGTGTGCCGGATTTCTGATTCTGTCTGCTCCGGTTTTGATGAATTGCTTTGTGTTCCCAATGTGGGGGGTTTTTTCCTCCTCAGCAGCTCACAAAGCAAATCACACAACAAGCCTGCTTTTAGTTTTCAACTGGTGTGCAGCAGCTCAATATAAAGACACATTTCAGGTGCGTACGCTGAGAAGGAACACAAATGCCGGAATAGTTATTTTTGAATCTGTTAGAATCCCGAACATCGCCGGAGAGAAGTCTGCCACTCTCATCCTAACATGTGTGTAACATACATTAACACGGAAGAGGTTCCATCATCACAGCTGGCAGCCAATGACATGCAGCGAAGACTCACGGGTGCAAAGCGCTTGTGAAGGGGATGGCGGGTCCTCTGCACACACACAGGGAACTTGCAACTTGTTTAACCCTTTTTAGGCCAAGTACCCAAAACATTCTGACTCAGAGTTACCGGCCCCTTACAACAGCTCGAAAAACTCAGGGCTCAAATAACACCCCAAAAACAGCACCGAGCGCCCCGCAATGACAACGTGATCTCATATATGACATACCACGGGCTATTCATCCAAGATTCACACAACTTTCATCCATATTCACCCATATTTCACTTAAGTCTATTAGAATGGGTGAAAGTTCTGTGAATCATGGGTGAAAACTAGGGATGCACCGATACCGGTATCGAGTACCGATATATTTTTTTCCGGTACTGAATACTGATAACGGAAGTCCCATTAATGAAGCCGGGCGGCGTGTAAAGACTTGCTATCCGGCTTCCCGATTAGCAGGGAAGCCGTCCTCTTGCTTCTCGTCACTATGTGATGAGAAAGCATGGAGCCGGCTTTCTGGCCAATCAGAAAGCCGTGTAATGACGTGGCGCCCGGCTTCTAGACCGGCTCCATGCTCCCTCATCATGAGGTCACGAGAGAGCATGAAGCCGGCTTCCCGGACAATCAGAAAGCCGGGCGCTGCATCATTACACGCTGCCTAGCTATCTGATTGGCACAAGTGACGAGGGAGCATGGAGCCGGCTTCACAGCCAATCAGGAAGCCGGGCAGCGTGTAATGACTCACTGTCTGGCTTCCTGATACCGGAAGTATCGGGCTAGGCATCGGAGTATTTGGGCGAGTACAAGTACTCACCCAAATACTCGGCATAGGCACCGATATTAGTATCGGTATCGGTGCATCCCTAGTGAAAACATTGATGAACAGACCCAGTAAAGTAACACTTTATACCACTGTGTGTGACAAAGCTGTTCATTGTGATGGAAACATTGTAACTGTCTGATATTCTAACACAGGAACAATGTTTCTATATATTCTTCTTTTCTCATGACCTGAATGGAGAGTCCGTGCCGGGCAAAGCCACAGGTGTACTTAAGGTGAATGTAACATGTTCACGTCATTTCAAAAGGCGTTTTCAATCTTTTTAAATCTGTAGATTTCATTAAAAGTGTTCCTGGTGATCCTGCCATGAAAGTTTGCTCAGGTACTTCCTGTTCTGGGGTGACAACGCTCCGTCCCTGTCTCCCAATTGCCATCCTGCGCTGTCACCCTATCACATGCGCTCCTGACGGGTATTACATGTGGCCGTGCTGACACACATTGCCCAGACGTGGTCCTTTGATGTCACTATCGGGAAGCCGGTCCAGGGCAATTATGTGCAGCCAATGCTGGAGTGAGTGCATGTAGACAGGATGTGGTTAAAAGAGGCCGCAGGAGATCAGCTGCACTAAGGATAATGATGTAAATTGCAGAATTTCTGGTGAACTTTTTCCATCTCCCAGAGAATGCAGCTCTACCATCTCTGCACCTGAGTTCCCCGCTCTGCCCATGTGCAGCAGGCAGTATGAGGGGTATCACTGATCCAGCTCAATTTTTGCATTTATGGTACACAGCAGAGAATGCGACAGGAGGAGTGAGCCTCCAGGGCGGTGTGCAGAAACAACCAACAATGGTGGCTAGCAGACCTTGATGGAGACTTCTTGAGATACAAGCAGCCATCAGTGTACTGCCTTTAAGGCGCCGCAGGTGCTCCATTATCTAGGTGACAAATCACTTGAATCCATTTCCTGCTGACTTCCTGTTCATGAAAACTTCCCCTTACAAATCTTATCGGGAACATCAGATCTGGCCGAGCTGTGACCGTAGTCTGGGCAAGCTCCCGCTTGTAAGCTAAAGTGCAAATCAGCTTCACTCCAGCAGAAAAATGAGGGCAGATACCTCCAAAAAACCTTCCAGAATTGGGATTGCGCCATTCTGTAGGTCACGGCTGAGAAGACCGCGGGCTGGGCGGGGCTGCTACTGAGTCAAAAGTCCTTTGTGAGGCCAATTGGAGAAAGAGAGACACGAAAACCATCTTGTTAAAGGACAACTCCATAGGACAGAACCAAAAATATGGGCGGGGAGGGACTCTGCCTTATGCATTGCAATACTGCACAATGCGTCGCAGGGCTGTTCATTCTGAGAGGCATCGGAGCACAATGTACAGTGTGCTGCGTTGTGGTGCGTGACAAGCTTTGTGACACGCCCGGAGTCACAGGAGGTATTGATCCAATCACAGTCCATTATTTTCAGTGGGCTGTAGACATGTAACCTGCGAAAAAAATTAGGTTCGGTTTGGATATTTTCGGGACTTGGGTCCGAAATTCAATCCGGTTCGGGGGTTTCGGACGAGATCTGAATTTTCCTTGGTTTCGGATGAGTTCACGAATATTCGTTGTGAATACCACAGAAAACCAAATACAGATATTATTACTAAAGCTGAGGCTCCCGGACCCGAATGGCATTCAGGAGCTCCCGAATGCAATGCGGAAATTCGGATCCCAAATGCCGTTCGGGTCTGGGAGATTAAGCTTTAGTAACATATGTATATGGCTCCCAGACCCGAATTGCATTCTGGATTGCATTCTAGAGCTCCCGAATGCCATTCGGGTCTGATGGTCATACACATATGTTACTAAAGCTGAGGCTCCCAGAACCGAATGGCATTCAGGAGCTCCCGAATGCAATTCAGAAATTCGGATCCTGGATGCCATTGGGTTATGGGAGCCCCAGCTTTAGTATTATTTGTATATACTGTATACGGCTCCCATGTTGCCGTAACTGAAAATTCGTGTCCAGACCCATTCGGATGCATTAAACCGAAAAGGACATCTGATTGGCCAGAAAAGTCACATGTCCGATTCAGTTTCATTTTTAAACAAAATTCGGATGGGATCCGATAGTCGGAAACGGAAATTCAGATTCGGATGCATTAGGATTCAGAAATTCGGATGTGTCCGAATGTCCGAATTTGCATTCGGAACGAAGCGAATTGCACATGTCTAGTGGGCTGCCCTAATGCCACACTCATTAACATGCGACAGAACGCACTTTACAAATGTCTTCGGCGGGTGGCGCAGTGTCTATATCTGTCTTTAGCTGTATGGTCGGAGTTACCCTTTAATCCCCCCTGCCACTGCGGAGGGACAAGTCCCAAAAAACAAAAACAGTCTTATAAAGTGGCTCATCACATGAAATCAATGGAGGCCGCCTATGAATTCTCCAGACCCTGATGATGTCACCGAGTGCCTCATGACGCAGCCAAATTTAACGTCAACCTAAACCACTAAATATTTGCTGTACCATGTGACTGTCATTTTGGAATTAGCTTTCACTATTTCTTAAATTTGCCGCATTCATTAAACTGATCCCTGGTGATCCTGCCATGACGGTCCTTGTTCAGGCACTTCCTGTTATAGGGTGACAAACGTCTCCCAATAATGTTCCTGCGTTGTCACTCTGTTTGGGGCTAAAAGTAACATTGGCCGCCATGGTCAGGAAGCTGCTCCAAAGCAACAGTGTGCAGCTTAAGGCGGTGCGAGTGCATGTAGACAGGAAGTGGCTTAAAAAGGCTGCTGGAGATCAACAGCACTGAGACGGGAAAATGGTGAAAAAAGAAAGATATGACAAAGAGGGCGATGTTTAGCTTTTTGCAGAGAAGAGAAGAAAAAAAAAGACGATTCACTCCTTAATAATATTCACATGACAGGAGAGAGGAATGGAGAGAGAGAGAGAGAGAGGGGGGGGAGAGAGAGAGAGAAGGAGAGAGAAGAGGAAAGAGAGAGAATAGAGGGGGAGAGAAGGGAGGGGGGAGAGAGAGAAGAGGAGAGAGAAGGAGAGAGGAGAGGGGGGAGCAGAGGAGAGAGAAGAGGGGAGAGAGAAGAGGCGAGAGAGGAGGAGAGAGAAGAGGAAAGAGAGAGAAGAGGAGAGAGAGAGAAGAGAGATAGAAGAGGAGAGAGAAGAGGAGAGAGAAGAGGAAAGAGAGAGAGAAGAGAGATAGAAGAGGAGAGAGAAGAGGAGAGAGAAGAGGAGAGAGAAGAGGAGAGAGAAGAGGAAAGAGAGAGAGAAGAGAGATAGAAGAGGAGAGAGAAGAGGCGAGAGAAAAGAGAGAGGAGAGAGACGAGAGAGAGAAGAGGGGAGAGAGAGAAGAGGGGAAGGGAGAGAGAGAAGAGGGGAGGGGGGAGAGAGAGAAGAGGGAAGAGAGAAGAGGGGAGAGAAGAAAAGAGAGAGGAGAAAAGAGGCGAGAGAGAGAGAAAGGGAGAGAGAGGGGGGAGCAATAGAATATAAAAAGGAGGTGAATGAGAATTCTAAAAAAACAGGAAGGAAGAAAGAAAAGAGACAGAAATAAAGAGGGAAAGAGAAAGAATGATAAAAACAGGAAGGAAGGGAGAGTGGTACAAAGAAAATGTAAAAAAAAAGAGAGAGAAGAAAGAGGAAAATGGTGTGAGGAGAAAAGGAAGTGAATGAAAAACAAGACAATAGAGTGGAATTTAGAAAAAAAAGAAAAAGTGAGTAACATAGAAAGAAGAATTAAAAAAAAGAATGGTCAGAAAGAGGAGAATGAGAGAAAAAAGAACAGAGGACAGAGAAGAAGAGAACAAAAGGAAAAAGAAAAGACAGAATGACAAAGAAAATGGACAGGAGAAAGAAAACAGAAGAGACTATAAATGGTGAGCAGAGAGAGAATTATAATAAGAAGAGAGAAGGAATATAGAAGAGGGGGAAATAATAAGTGAAGAGGGAGATGAGAGAGATTAGAAGTGAGGGGGGTATAAGGAGAAGTGAGGG